GCTAAGGAAGTCCCTGTATGGCCTGAAACAGTCTCCAAGACAGTGGTACAAGAGGTTCGATTACTTCATGCTGAAAATCAATTTTAGAAGATGTTTATATGACTGTTGTGTGTACTATCATGTGTTCCAAGATGGGATGATCATATTGCTATTGCTATATGTGGATGACATGCTAATCGCTTGTCAAGACAAATCTAGAATTCAAGCCTTAAAGAAGATGTTGAGCAAGGAGTTCGACATAAAGGATCTAGGTGCAGCACAGAAGATCCTTGGCATGGAAATTCAGAGAGATAGGACTGCTGGAAGGATCTGGATATCACAAGCCAAGTATATTCAGAAGGTTCTTGAGAAGTTCAACATGCAAGAAGCAAAGGTAGTTTCAACTCCTTTGGCAGCTCACTTCAAGTTAAGTGGGCAACAGTGTCCTAAGTCCGAGGAAGAGCAGCAAGTAATGGAGAAGGTTCCTTATGCTAATGCTGTGGGCTACCTTATGTATGCAATGGTATGCACACGTCCCGACATAGCTCAAGCAATCAGTGTCGTTTCCAGATACATGGCAAATCCAGGAAAGCAACATTGGGATGCAGTCAAGTGGATTTTGCGTTATTTGAAGGGTTCTTGGCGACGAAGGATTATGTTTGAGAAGCAAAAGGAAAATGCAGGAGTGTTGGGATATGTAGATGCCGATTATGCAGGGGACTTGGACAAGAGAAGGTCAACTTCTGGTTATGTGTTTACATGTGCAGGAGGACCAATCAGTTGGAGGGCACTACTACAACCAATTACAGCTTTATCGACCACAGAGGCAGAGTATATTGCTTTGGCTGAAGCTGGAAAGGAAGCAATTTGGCTTAATGGCTTGGTAAGTCAAATGGGAATCACCCAAGATTGTGTGAAGCTGAAGTGTGATAGTCAAAGTGCCATTTACTTGGCAAAGAATCAAGTATTTTCTAGAAGATCAAAGCACATTGAAGCAAGATATCACAGAATCAGAAATTGGGTGGAGTCTAAGGAGATTTGGATTGAAAAGGTTCATACGGATGACAATGCCGCAGATTTCCTTACAAAGATAGTGCCGATCAAGAAGTTCAAGCATTGCTTGAACTTGATCAATCTCGTTGATTGATTAAAGTGGAGCACCTCTTGAAGATTTCCAGAGCTGCTTCAAGGAGGTTTAAAGATACTCTGGGGTGCAACGATCAAGACTTGGTTTGACTCACCAAGGTGGAGATTGTTAGGATTTTGGCTCGTCAAATATGTCCTAGTTGGTTTAGGATTGCTTTAGGGAAATTAGATGTATTCTTGTCCTAGAGGGATTAGGAAAGAATTTCAGTTTTCCTTATTCAATTCAGGTTTGGATTTCTAGAAGCCTATTTGGTTTTGGATAAGTGTAATTTCCTAATCCACTTAGGAATAGGAATTCAATCAGCCTT